AGTAATGTACCCATCTTGTACAAGAATACATCTAACAATCTCCTCCATTATGCTGGCTTCAAGTTGCAGAGTGTTTTAAGTGCTTTCCACATTAGTAAAACAACACTGTGGGTAACAGTGGACTTCCTAGCAACATCTTATCTTTCCCCTTTCTTCAAACTTTCCAACAATAAGGCCAAGCATAAAAATCATCAAAGTGACAAAAAATACACCACTACAAGAACTGCCTGTATGTGTCAAATCCTTTAACCTATTCAGCACCAACGTAATGTAGGCGCGATGCAACAAGTCCACTCTTACTAGCCCAGCGTTGCTTATATACGAACAACTCCAATCAATTTCTTCAGCCCAGCTTCACGTATGTGCAACTTAAAATGGAAAGATTTATTTGAATTTTTAAATGCCAGTAGATGGTACTAAATGATAACTGTTTTCACATTGGTTAAGTCATATGGCTTTTGACCTTTATGTATGAACATCAGTTTCTGATCTGTCCTTCTGGTTTTGATAAGACATATTGGTATAAACAAACTGGAAATCACAGCTCTTTAAGTTAAAGGGATACCGGCATGTTTATTTTGTTAGAAATTGTTTTTTCTTTATGTTTATCGTTATTAGAATGTGGGGACATGCAACCAGCTCAATGATCCTCGTTTTTAATTATTTCAGACACAGCAGAATTATTAAATTGGAATTTAACTACCTACAGATAATAATTACTAAATTTTCTTTTCTATTTTATATTTGTCATTTTGTTTTTATGTGTATAGGATTTGTTTTCATGCACATAGTTATAATTTTAGTATTTTCCATAATTAATATTCTATAAATACATATTAAAAATTAGAATATTAAGTATGTAACTTCAAAAACTGAGGTCATCATTAAAATGCAGATTTTATAAGATTTTTTTTTTTCCTTTTGCAAAAGTAGGCTTAATCACTGAAAATGTGTGGCCCAGTAGCCACATTCCATTTGGGGAAGGGGTCGGTCTCGTGGGTACACTTCTTTCTCTGAGAGCTGGTCCTCAAGGGCTTAAATCTTATTAGCATTATCCTGCGATGAACAGTTGAAGAAATTAAAATTTACATACATACACCTCTTCTTACTGCATCGTGCATTTATTCTAATTTTTTACATTTTGCTTCCTCCTGTTTTATTACTGCTATGGGCAATAAACATTGTTACCCTTAGCAAGTGTTCAGCAGTATATATAAAAATAAAGATTTAAAACTTCAGATTCCATTTTTTTTTTACAATTTGAATTTCCTTTTCCCTAAATATCAGGAAAAAGATTTAATTACATCTACTTAAATGTAGAAGATCAAGACTCCTTAAAGTTTAAATACAAGAGATTTAAGTTATTCATGCAAACATAAGATTTATGCAAGATTCACAAGTAATATCTAAATAAAATTACACTGTCGATTCACAAGTGAAATCTAAATAAAATTATACTGTCTAACTTAAAATACTTAGTTATTCTGGAGCAACAAAGGCTCATTCACGTTTTGTACGGAAAAAAGCTCAAAACTTCATGAAGCCAACTCATTCAATCACCAGATATAGAACTTGGAATGAACTAATGATATTTCAAACTGCAGAACCATTATATATTTTATACTCTAATGTCATGGCAGTGGCTGTAAAAATTTAAATATAATATATAAAGACTCCCTTTACTCAAAATTTCTTGCTCCTTATAAGATATTTCTTTTTATTATTTATAAACAATAGTAAGGATGCCAACAAATTTATAAATGCAAAAATTCATAAATTTGCCAGCTTTTGGTGAAGATGCTTATAATTGGATAGAGTCAATAGAAGCAAATTATTTTGCATATCTATTTTCATAAAAACTATCATAAAAGTAAAAATTTAACAGTAATTTTGAATGGAATAAGCTATTAAAGTAAACTATCTAGCTTTTTTTTTTTTAACAACATTCAAAATCAGATATGATATGAGCCATCACATTACAAAAAGTTACACTTTTCAATATGCAAATTCTAAGAGATTTCAGCCCAACAAAATCAGAGACGTAATATTTATATTTCAGCCATCATGCTGGCAGATAAAAATACATTTTATCATAATTAATTCCAGCTGCCTAAAGGTAAAAATACTTTCATGGGACTTTTTAAAAAAAATGTGTTCACGTTACATGCAGTTTATCACTATGAAGACAGCTTCTATCAGAAGAATTTATTTAAGTTTCTTACAATCAAGAAATTAAACCATAAAAGGCTCTAGTGTAAAATTGAATACCCTTTGATTGGCAACAAAATGCATTCAATTTTGGTGATAAAACCCTTCTGGTTACCATGATAGTTTCAAGTCTGTTTTAGCTTCCCGATTTTTTTTTAAAAAGTGAAACCAGATCTCTTTGTACATGGACAAAGGCAGTGCGGAATATATGCAATTCTCCAAAGTTTATTAAGTGAAAATAGATGGATGTGTACATGGAGACAGAGTTTGAATTCTTCGACTTCTTATTCTGGTTTTGTGTAGCAGACATCTTGAAACTTTGTGCCTATCTTGACATCAAAAAAAGAATCACCAAAAGTACAGGAAGTAACCAATTGTAAACTTTTACCCATAAAAATTTTAATCGCTCATATGACAGTCTCAAAGATACATGTATCCTTGTGGCCATCTAACAAAATGCAGTTTTGAAACAGAATCTAGTCAAAACTAGCACAGTCTACTTCAAATACGAATGTAATAAGTACGATGACATAAAACTTAAGAAACTTCCAATATTTCAGAACAGTCCCAATTCCTTACATATTAGAAGCTGATAGACAGCCTTTATATCAAACACATCAGGATATATTAGCAATCTTAAGTTTTGAAATTGATTACTTAACAGATATAGTAGCTGTTGTATTACAAGCCTTAAAAAAAAAAAAAAAAAAAAAAAAAAAAAAAAAAAAGACTGAATTTGAGAACACATATGGATATAAAAATAAAATTTGAATATAACAAATAACTCATTATATTTTAAAAAGTAAAATTTGAATTACGAAGACAAAAGCCAGAATTGCGAAATTCAGAATGTCCAAGAAGATATGAAAAAATATCTAGAACCAATGTTTACTGCATTGTGACTTATATGGAAAATTTCAAAAATTCTATTCAGTAGAAAGACCGATTTGGAGTAGACTTGATCTCTTAGATTTAGATATCCAGATTACAGAGATGACTGGAATAAGTCATATCAGTGATGCTGCTAAATATGTAAAATAAGAGTACTGCTCAAACATAATCCAAGTTATAAATTATGCTTACAGAGATGTACAAGACTTAATTTCTTCCTTTCAGCTATGTAAACCACAATGCAATAAACGGATTAATTTCATAAGTGTTGTTCTTTTTAATCGTTTCTTTCCCAGATAACCAGGATATTTAATAAGTGTATATGTAAATCATAAATAAGCCAATTAAAAAGAAAGTACTGTTAAGTAATAAAATATTTGAGTCAAGATAAGTTTCTAACGTTAGATTCTCTAATATTTACCATTTAAAACCATAAAAGAGAAATGAAATACATTTACCTTTCTTCAAAATAAAATCTCACCAGTTTAAAAAAGGCCTGCTGTGGGTAAGCATATTTTAATATAGCCATGAAAAGAAAGATGTTTAAATTATATAAACTAGATTTTAAATAACTTCAAATACATATAATTGTTATGCAAGTTAACTACAAATATGGTTGTATGAAATTATGTAAAAATTTCGTTAATATTTAATAATTTTTGTCCAAGGGAGGGTTTAATCCTAGTATCCAGTGCACAAGGGATTTGGCTACTTTATGACCAGCAGTAAACGGGACATATACGATGAGTAGTTAAACAGGTCATTTTGGTGTTGGCGATAATTTTCAAGATCGCGCCAAGGCTGCACCATATACTAGGATTTTACCCAAAGGAGTAATTTTGTTCTATTCTAAAAAAAATCAAAAGTTTACTATTTTTATTAGCTATAATCAGCTGATTCTCACAATGCTAGTATTTACAAGAAAGGCTAGTCAGTTTTGCTAAGACATATTAGATTTCATATTTCAATAAAGTCTTGCAGAAGTATTTGTTAAAATACTATACGACACCTAAGATACCAAAATCCACAAAAAACTGCCTAACACTTCCTGTATATAAAATATAGAATGTTGGTATTTACATGGATTGGAAAATTAAAAAACCTTCCTTTTTTCACTATAAGGAATCTAACTTTCCTGGTGCATTTCCAATAAGAAGTCTACCATTGTAGGGTAGATTTTGACAAGTCAGGATTTGTTACACTTCACAATAAATTCAACATAAATTGTGAAGAAATTTCCATCATGTTAAGGCTGCATACAAGAGAATTCAGGTTCCTTTTTTCAATATGCAGAAATTTTGTCCTTATAGCTAAACAGGGGTACAGTAATTTTGTTAAAAGTACAATGGAATAAATACTCTGTAAAATCTTAGTATACGGTGCATCCTTGGTGCAATTTTGAAAATTATCGCCAACACCAAAATGACCCGTTTAAATACTCATCGTATATGTCTCGTTTACTGCTCATCATAAAGTCGTCGCCAAATCCCTTGTGCACCGGATACTAGGATTAAACCAAATACTCAAACTTTCTTCTTAATTTACATTATCATTAGAATAAAATGGATGAAAATGAATTATACAATAGAATACATTAAATGCAGAAGAATCTAAATATTTTAAAATTTATGATCAATATTTTGTCCACATTTTAAGAATAAGATTTTAAAAATTAAGAGACTCCCTATCTTCGTTATCTGCAAAGCTACATTTCTTACATAAAATATGTCGCCGATATTAATAACAGATGAGGCAAAATAATAATCCCTACACATGATACTGCTATATATACTTATTTTTGTATAAATACATTAAGGAATTATTTTAAACACAAATAGATATACAAGACAAATTTAAACTGAAAAAAATAAGAGAAGAAAAACATTCATGAAACAAATTACCTTGGTTTGTCCTTCTGTTTATTGAATCACTGGTGTTAGTCAAATCTAAAGTATTTTCTAATATAGCATTTATCCTCTGATATATGTCTCCACTTTTAGGAAATTCAGTATTTGAATAATACCTATCATCGAATTCGGATGAACCATTGAAGAACTGCCCCTATAAATTTCATCCAAAATGAATTACAAAATCAAATGAGAACTATTCGATAAAATGTGCATATTTCTCAGATTTAATCATATATAGGTTATACACTGCACAGTAATATAGTAATGGTATTGTTGAAACAAATATTTGAAAATTTTTAAGAGGATTATTGTAAGTAATCCACTAACTGACAAAGTGAATCAAAGATGGAAACTAAATTTTTTCCCTATAATATTTAAATAGCATATGGCATTCAAGCACAGTATATTGAGATTTTTGTTAAATAAATTGTACTTCTAATTATTTCACAATATATCATAGATTAAAATTATAGACTTCTATTTCATATTAAGGAATATGTTTTTCCGGGATAAGTAAAAATAACTGCAAACTTTGCATAAAAATAGTTGCAACCATAGAACTTGAAACGAATTTCGCACAGTTATTTTCCATTTTAGTTTAAAAGTCTGAAATATGACCCAGTTAATGAATAAGATAATTTTAAAACACTGGTTTAACTACAAATGCAATATGTTGGAGACGACATGACATTAAGGCATTATATGAATTAAAGGGGACTATTATTACTATGAATTTTTTTAAAGTGATTATATATAACCATAATATGTAAATGCTTTATTACATATAATTTAGAACACAGCATTTCTTTTGTTACCAAGAGAAAGTTAACTATGCTTCTACATGTAGCCTTAGATTTGTGGTGAGATGCCCAAGTTTAGTAATTAAAAGCACTTCTAAGTAAATTTATAAAAAGATATTCCCTCGTTTTGTGAAATACTTATTAAAGCAATTAAAACTTAATTTTCAAAATAATGCACGAAATCGATAATTATGGTTGCAAGTCACCAGAACTATTTAAATATACATATTTTGGTACATGTATTTATCACCTACTCGTTACTTGCTTCTCATTACGTAACATAACTACTAAAGGGACGTTTTAAGTATTCCTTAAATAATTTAGAAAACTTAGAGAGAAAAGAATAATCAAAGATTTCAGGATACAAACATAAAATGGGATATCTTCCATAATTAACTTTTACTGAAAATTTACATAAAAATAAGCAAATGCAAGAAATGAACAAAAGTTTCGGTAAAAGACTGAAGGATTAGCTTTACAGACATACAATTCTGGTAACCTACAGACTAATTTTGCAAACTACGCGATTCTTTTTCCTCTTCTCGTGATCATCATCGATCAATATTGGTTTCGGTTACTCCCACCATATGAAGACTTTTTGAGATTTATTATCAGTATTACACAATATATAAGTAATAACAATACTAAAATATGGTAAGAAAAATGTTCTTTTTTCAAAGATTTATTTTAGTTAATAACCACGTGCAGTTCCTTAATGCGCAAAGCTGGGCGTCAACACACCACGTGATGTTTTGCTTGCTTATTAGCTTCCTGCATATATACATAAAACAAATAATACATTTATAATTACTTTTTCGTAAATTATCATTAATTTATACATATATCACACAGGAAGTGAAAAATAAAATAAACTTACATTGCTCATTGATACGGACATGTTGCCCCACATGAAAGCCGACAGGAACTTTTTAAAATAAAAGTCTTAATAAATTCTTAAGAATATCAAATTAAAAATAATCCTGCTTTTATATTAACAATAAGGCGGTTACGGAACCGCTGTAGAGTGCGTAAAAGCAAACCTCTGACTACACACTTCTCGGTTTTATTATTCCTCTTAACTGAGACACAAGGAAGAAAAGCCTCGTAGCATGTGTTTAAAGAGGTGAACGATGATTCGATAAGGCAAAAATTTGCATAGTTCTGTACGGAACATTGAAAATGTAAACCCTCAAGTCGTTGCCGAACTACACTGCAAAATGAGCTAGACCTGAATCTACCAGCTGTTCACGTGGAGTCAGTACGGCTTGCCGGGATAAGTACGTGTACTAAATGCGGAGTACGGGTTTTTCAGCGCAGCAGCGAAACCAGCGATATTGTTTCTTTTCTTCCGGCGGAGAGCTACCGAGGGAGGTTCCGGAGGAGCAAAGACCGGCGTCGCGGTGACTGGATCTATCCGAGACCGTCGACGTAACTCATGAGCAGACGACATACTGCTTTCTGCGCAAGTGCGAATTGCCAAGTAGGTAAAAATTATTTCACGTTTGAGCACATGATATAGTTTTTATTTCTCCTGTTTTGAAAATACTCTCACATTCCCTAATTACAACAATAAAGGAACGCGTTTCGATTGTTTGCCGAAATTAAAAAAATATGTTTATTGAGAAACATTCAAGCAATGCGCAGTCATCCTGCGATAACGAGGTAAGCATATATTATTCATAATTCTGTACGACTTGTATTGTAACTGAAAAAAAGTGGTCTATTATTTAAGTGTATGACAGATATATTTCAATGCCGGTTTCTCTACCCAACAAATTAAATGTAAAACGTAGTATCTGACTCGCAGATATTGCAAGGCTCTCATTGGTTACTACGTATGGCGGGATAAGGAAATCAACATTCTGTAATGATTTCGTTAATTGAATGCATATTATAATTTCACTTACCATATCATACTTAGTTCTGTCGAAGTTTTAAAAGATTAAATGTTCACAATAATGTCAACTGTAGGAACGAATCAATAATTATTCTCTGCTTATTCCAACAAAAAGTTAAGAATATTCTCTTATGTGATGGAATTGCGTCAAAGGATATTCAGCGTGAAGTACTTTTAAATATTTAATTAGTTCATACTGTTCGAAAGCAAACTAACTGAACGTTATTGCCAGATTTTTAGCTAACTTTTAATATTGTATAATGATAATTAAATTATAATACGTGTACATAAAATATTTCACAGTAATTTGTTTATATAATATATATATATATTATATATATATAATATATATAAAGAAAAGAAACATAACAATAGGCTAAAAATTAAAAACAAAATTTTTTTAAACCCGTCCTGCGCTATAGCTGCAGGATTGAAGTAAAATAAACTTAAAGCATCTTAAAGTTAAAATTAAATTTGAATCGAAACAATTTGATTCCAGTTTAATTTTAACTTTAGATGCTTTAAGTTTATATGTAAAAAGAAAATTTCATAGTAATTTTCTTATCCAAATTAAAAAAAAAAAAAAAAAGGTTTCAGATTTTAAATTGCATCTAAAGGGGCGTTTTTTTAACGTTTTGTGTATAACCTTTATTTATTCAATATCATGTTCTTTGCATTTATACCATAAAATTCTGTTCAACAGCAATGTCGCAAAATAATTTTAAAATGAGCATACCTTTAGAATTTCCGATACACAGTTCCGCGCACTGGAGATAAAAAGGTCCCCCCCCCCTCGTAGAGTGTTTGTTGCCATTGCTCGCTTTTAAATCGTTGAGTTTGTTAAACAAAAATTCGAAATCGATAATAAAACAAATTACAAATTTTAAATTTGGGCTTTCAGATGGATTCAATTGGATGGCTCTAGGTATCGTTGTTTTATCACAATGCGAGAAACATGACATTGGCCGGTCGACGGGATAATATGTAAGTACCGTAATTTTTCAAAGACCAAAGTCAGAATTCTTGTCATAAATTTTATACTGCTTTTTAGTATCTCCATGAAAGAATTATCGGTACTTGTCTTCTATAGCGGCTTTGGCGAGAATGTTGATTTGGTGCATTTATGCACTGGTTAGAAACAAACGGTTTCCGATCTGTGCATATGCAAGAAACAAGAGTTTACATTTACCGATCTTCGCATGTGTTTTTTTTCTGTCACTTTTAATGCATATTGGTTTCCGTCTATTTTTCGTGGTTCACGTTTATTCGGCTTGTGAAATTTTTCGTTTTTAAAGTACTGCAGATTTTCTTTGTAAATATTTATTATGCTTACTATTTTCAATCTACCATCAACTGAAAAAGGTGCTGTAGCTTTTTCCAAGAAAAATGTATTTTATCAAGCGAGAGAATTTTCACGTATGCAGGTATAGGTTAAATAATATGCAGTTATACAGCATTTGGTAATGCAATACTCACTACCAAGTTGACCATGATAATGTGTTTGAAGCGTTGTTAGCAGCAGTTGTTGAAAAGTAGCCAGCAGAAGAAATTTGTAAAAAATTAATTTTCCTGTATGTTATTTTTTAAAAAGAAATTGCTAACAAAATTGTATCAATATGTATAAAGAAGAAAGTATGTGTGTTTGTCCTCTAATAACTCTGTCATTACTATAGCTATCGTCGTCAAACTTTCTGCGATGCTTTTATGGGTCCTGGAAAAGGTCGACGCCCACTTTTTTCTCCAAAAAAGTAGCTAAAATTAGAGGTATTAATTAAAAACTTGGAAAAACGTAATTTTCGCCTTCATTTTTCCCAGTGGCAACAGGCTCGCAATTTGAAGATGAAAATTTGCTTTATTTTGAAAGTTGTTGTTACTGCTCGCTTTCAAATCCTAGAGCTTGTTAATAAAAAAATTTCTAATTTTTACGTTGAAATAAAAATAGCATTGCCAAACATTAAATACATTATTCCCGTTTCCAAAAGTTCGTGGAAAGCCATTTAGACTATTCCCATCTTCGTACGACTGTAATCAGCTGAAATATTAATTAAAAACTTTGAAAACACTAATTTTCTCATTCATTTTCCGAGTGGCAACAATTTCGCGCGTTGGAAATAAAAATGTTTTACTCCGAAAAGTGTTGCTACTGCTCGTTTTTAAATCGTAGAATTTGTTAATCAAAACTTGATAGGTTTTACAAACTCTATACACATAAAGAAGAATGTCTGTTTGTGTGTTTGTTCGCGTTATTGATTTCTGATCAATTATGATAATATTTTTTCCATATTTAATCGACCAAAATTGAATATAGGTGAAATATTGGATGGAAATTAGCCTTTACGACCATTTATTTAATTAGAAAGACGGAAATCATTAAAGACTGCGTGCCGTTGTTGTTGATATAATGAGAGAGAATTAGCTTATTTTTATATCGAATTTTTTGTGGGTTCCATATCGCATCAGACTGAAAAATGTATGACTATGAATCGTATTTTTTTCATCGTTATTAAAGAAGGATTACAGCGGTATCGTTCTCTCTGTTGTTAGACGCATTACTCTCAGTCTAACTTAACTGGCATCGGGTACTTCCGGTAGTATAAAACTAAAGAAAAGTTCATATTAAAATCTGTTACAGAATGATAAAGTTGGGTTAAAACTTTAAAGCTGTAATTCATTGCTAGTTAACTAATATTCTTTTGCTTTGCTTTACATTTTTAGGGAACTGAAGTAACTAGATTGATTCTAACTGTGCAATAATTCATTATTCATGATGTAAATTAATAAAACTAAAGTTAAATCGGTGTGTTTAAACTTTAGACGTTTCTTTATGGATGAGATTTGATCGTAATAAAGTGACAGTTAACGTTTTTGCATTTTTAGATAAATCTGAGATAATTTTTTCTAATTTAATCTAAGGTAATTCTTAAGTAATTTTTCGTTTAAAGCAGCTTTACTTACATTAAACTTTACTTTACTTACATTAAAAAATAAATTTTCTTTACTTTACTTACATTAAAAATTAATTTTTAATGTAGTAATTAATTTTTAATTTAATTAATTAAAAATTAATTTTTAATGTAAGTAAATTAATTTTTGCTTTACTTTACTTACATTAAAAAATAAATTTTCTCGTGATATATGTAAATTATTCTAAAATTCATTTATTTGATTTACATTGGAAGGAAGAAAATACTTGCTTAAATTCATACATCATGGAATCGTTTCTTCATTGTGTTAGTCTAAAAGAAAGCATCCAACTGAAAAATGTATAACTATGAATCGTATTTTTCGCATCGTTTATAGAGAAAGATTACATAGGTATTGTTCTCTCTGTTGTTAGACGCATTACTCTCAATCTAACTTGGCGTTGGGTACTTCCGCTTGTTAAAAATAAGGAAGATAATTTAAAAATTTATTTAATTAAATACTATGATCTATTATACAATTATTAAACAGTCAGTTTCGTTTTGGTGAGTGCGTAAAATCTGGCAACAAATCGCACCTTCTTAAGGATTCTTAAGACAAATTGCGCCTTTTTTTTCATGCCAAGGCCAGTACGGAAGAGGAATACCGAATCATCTTTTCATAATTAATTAATTTTCCAACAAATCTGTTAACGCGAGCAGTAGATAATTTTTTTTATAATTTAAAATTTCGAAAAGATGTTAGTATTTTCGTATAAACAGGAAATCTCTGCCGAAATCAGCTCTGAACAACGAGTTTCTTTTTTTTTTTTTTTTTTCCAATGAAATAGCGAGAAAATGTTTATATGCATTGACTTCAGTGAGCAGAATACTTTTTAATGCATAGGAAAATAACACATTGGGGAAGGGAATAAAAGTGACGAGTAAGATAGAACGATTTCAGCAGTTTAATCCATAGTTTATTATTTTTTTAAAAAAGCATGTATCTTTTCGACGCGCCGGATGTCCCTTAGAAGATGAAATATTCCGCAGTGTCATAAAATACATTTTACAGGACCATCTTCTTTTGAGTGTCCACATTCTTATGTGGGACGACATGAAACACATTTAATACATCGTGGTTTGTTACAGTGTCTCAAAAAAGTGATGGGACACTTGTGCTTTACAAAAGGAAACTGCAATAAAATAAATTTAAAAAACATGTCAAATTTTTTGTGGGTGTGTTTCATACTTAAATTTAGTAACAATTATTACATACCACACATTTTCTCAAAATATTAAAATGTTAATTTAAAGAAAATACAATTGTTTAGAACGGAGCAAAAAATGGCTCACTTAAGTGATTGGATACTCACGTAAGTGATGGGGCATTTACTTTTCCATCAAATATTTATCCAAAAAATTTTACTTTTAAAAGGTTTTAATATTTTTTGTATTTCCTTTTACTTTTAAAATGTGAATTAATCTTCTTGGGATGGATTTGACTCAATTTTTTGTGATTTCTGGAGTGATTTTACCCCATTCTTCTTGAAGCACCGATTTTAATTGTTGTTTTGAAGAAAATGGTG